AATTTCGGTTTCTGTGCCACAAAAAATTTCTAATATAGGAATGTGGTAATGTATGGAAGAAGCGTCAATTTTTTCTTTTGAAATAAAATTGCGGCATATTTGTCTAAATAAAAATGTTAAGCGTGGAATTAGCACGTGAATGCGTGCTTCTTCGGCTTGCATTTCGACATTAACTCGTTAATAAGTTTGAGTACATACGATAAAAAAAGAAAATATAGTTTTATGTTCGTGTCAGAAAGGCTGTCTGAAATAAATTTGTTATTTTCGTTACCAAATCCAGATTCATAGTTGCATAGTCCAAAATAGTACTGTAAAGGAGTCCACTGTTCTAATATCCGATTAACCACCATCTGCAATGTAAGTATACATATGTACGTTAATATATTTATGAACATATGTTTATTAAGAAACCTTAACCTTATATAAAAGTTACCTGCCGTGAAAGCCATCGCGTGGAGCTGTAGCGTAAAATGACATGCAGTTCACTTCCAAACTCTTGTTGGAAAAAAAATTAGCCTTTCGGCTTGCACTATGGCAAAAGTGATGATTAATGCTCCGCATAAGTTTCTCAACATCTCTGGGGAGCATTAAGCAGCTGCTTCTGAAGATAAGTTTAAATTATGACAAACATCTCCGTTTATAAATATTTTTGGACAAATCGCTCTTAGTTTCGCTTGGACGCCATTGCGTTTGCCCATCATAACGTTACAGTTGTCTGCAGCAAACCCGAGTAAATTTTCTGTGGAAATGTTATGGTCCTTCAATACCTTCATCAGGCTATTAAAAATTCCTGTCGAAGTAGAATTGGCAACCGATGCAAAATCTAAAAACCTGTCTCTGCAGTTTTGTGTGAAAATCCGTATAATCACTGCAAGATTCTTGTTCATGGACCCATCTGTACTCTCGTCTATGATCACAGAGTAATATTGCGTATTAGCTGCATTGCAAATTGATTTGCAATTCTCTGGTCCGGTTATTGACGTTATTATTTTCTGCCCTTTTTGCCGATTCAAACACATTTTCGAAACTATTTTTGAGTCCTTCACTGTTTTTACGCACTGCGATAGATGGTCCAACGATGTAAAAGGTAGATAGCATAAACGAATTTCGAGATCTTTTGCAGAATGCATAATTCTATTTTCTTCACTATTTTGTTGAGTAAAGTTGGAAATTTTAATCGTTGATTTCGCAATATTTTCATTCTTCTTATGCAAATCAGAATTTGCATGGCGAAAAATATGGCTTAATTTGCCGAAAATGGGTACGCAACACAATAAACACTTTTTACCCTGTTTAATATTTGGATCTTCTTGTAACCATGGATAGGTTTCTTTCCATTCCTTCCTAAAACGAATTTCATATTTTTTCTTTTTGGCCGGGATTTCATTTTGCCCATCTTCGCCTTCATTATTGCTAAACGGAAGGGTCAACGAAACAAAAACCACTTGCAAATAGTAATACTTACTTTTCATCACAATCTGCTTCTTTAGTTATATTGTTTTGCCGAGTGAGCCACCTGAAACAAATAAATATAGATAATAAATAAATGCTGTACATGTTATTTATTTCGTTATTGAACTTACTTATCCATTTTTGTTGAATTGAAGAGACGCCCGAAAAACGCGCTTAGCCACACAACTTTTCATTTAGTTTTGAGCTTCTTCTTTTGTATGTAAGATTCGCAATAACGAAAAATAGAAAACATACAGAGTTGCATGTCGAAACAAAACATAGTTCTTGAAAATCTCGTTTGCGGTTACAGCCATTCAACGTACCGCATGCATTATTACAACAGGCAAAAGAAAAACTAAAAATGGATCTGACCATAAGCTGATTGTACCTAAAATAGAGAGAGTGTACCTAATGTACCTTTAAGTCCGCAAACGTCGGAAAAAGGTACAATTGTACCTACTTTTTCATCCCTGATGTACATATGTACTCTTCAGCACACTCATACAGCATCAGGTAAAACACTGCTAGCAGCATACCAACCACTTCGTTCGCCAGCTACCATCGGGACAGCGCACACGACGAATTCTCAAACCAAATACGCAGCAACGGGTATAAAGAGCTGAACAAGTGCGCAGTCGAGTCAGTCTCGCTAAGTAAGCGTTGGGCTTGACTAGTCGGTTGGCGTCTAGTGGTGTGTCCTCGGACGCACTAAATCGTCTCTGACTGGTCAACCCAAACATTGCTTGACCAGCCGGTTGCGTCTAGTGGTGTGTTTTCGGACGCACTAAATCGTCTCCGGCTGGCCGAGCCGCGGTTACCGCTGCCCCCATTCCAGCCCCTACTCACGTAGTGTGCAATTATGGGAGCGGCGGTACCTGACGAGTCTCGCTAGGTCGTCCAACCGCCGCCGGGAATCGCTTGTCGAGCTGTACGTCACCGTTGAGGGCATCCAAAGCTATCGCGAGCGTCCGCCGCTATCGAGGGCCATCCGAAGCTGCTGAAAGCCATCCGCCGCCGCCGAGAATCATCTGCTGCGCCGCTAATGCTACTCCGCAGCTAGTGAGAGCCATTCGCCGAGAATCATCTGCTGCGCTACTGCTACTCCGCTGCTTTTGAGAGTCATTCGCTGCCACTGAGATTCATCTGCTGCGCCGCTACTGCTACCCCGCAGCTATCGAGAGGCCACTGCCGAGAGTCGCTCCGCCGTTCAGCTGCTCACCAGACTCCCCGACGTTACCAAGAATCACCCGCCGTGCTGCTAGTGCCCTCACCGTTGCTCCACCGCTCCTGAGAGCCATCCGCCGGGCTGCTAGCGCTCTCGTCGTCATCCACTCCGACCCGACCGCACGACAACAACGCTCATCCCCCGCTCTCTCTCTCTCTCCCTCTCTTTGGACATAAGGTTGCCGGCACTCTAGTCATAGCGCCGTGTGTGTGTGTGTGTCCTCGAATTAAATACACGAGAATATTGTGTTTTATTTGGTGGGGGTTAGTGGGACCTCCGCTGGACTCTGGATCGACTGAACTCACCTCAGCCTTCGACAAAACCCACCTCATAAGCTAATTGGCGCAAAATCGATGATTGCAATAACAACATAGCAGAAGATTAGCTTATTATAAATTTTTGGATAATGGGCGTGGCGCCGCCCACTTATGTACCACAAATGTGTATCTCGGTAACCGAGTTATCAATTTCGACCAAACTCGGTGCACGTAGTAACCTTGGTACGGAAAAGCAATTCGTTGAAAATTACTCAAATCTGAATAAAATTACACTCGGTTCCCGTATAAATGAAGGTCAATTTAAGAAATTTTAAAAATGCGATATTTTATTAACTCCTAACTAATAACTAATATGTTCCAAGTTAATAATTACAACAATCTCTTAACGAGACTGTTATAGACTTTTAGGAATTGAGCGTGGCACCGTTCACTTTATGACTACAAAGGTCTATCTCGGTAACCACTTTATCGATTTCTACCAAACTTGGTTCAATTATTTCATTAATTATAAGTCAGCATATTATCGAAAACATTTGAAATCGCTAAAAACTTTCCTGAAATTTTTTTTTCAAAAAAGTGGAAAAAGTTAATAAAAAAAAATAAAACCTTTTCTGGGTAGCTTTTCAATAGTTAAAGAGATCCTGGAAAGCAAAAAGTTCTGCAAAATTACATAAAAAAACATTTTTTTTCATAAGAGTTAAATATTTGAAAAAAATAACAGTTTTCTGGGTGGCATTTCAATAGTTCTAGATTTCCTGGATAGGAAAAAAAGTTCTGCAAAATTACGCCGAAAAAAATTTTTTTTTTCGAAAAAGTCGAAAAAGTAAATTAAAATAAAAAAATTGAACTTTTCGGGGTATCTTTTCAATAGTTCTAGAGATCCTGGAAAGGAAAAAAAAAGTTCTGCAAAATTAGGCAAACAACTGTGCCAGGCAGCTAGCAGCCTCGCGAGGCTGTGTGCGATAAGTGTGCGTGTGTATTCCAAGTTTTGTCCTGCGTGATATTTTGGTTTAAAGCTCAAACAGTCAACGACGTATCGTAGACGTAGACACGATCTACCTTATGGGATTCGCGTGTTAACGAAAACTCACCACCGCATGGCAGTGACGTTGCCATTGCTTCTCTCTCTATCAACAGTAAATTTGATATGCTGCTACGTACGTCAACCTACGTTTACGCTACGTCGTTGACTAACTGCGCTTTTAAAGTTTCGCTCTGTGGAATTAAACGCAAACGCACGCAAGCTAATTTCGGGTGACGCGGAAAAACAAATTAGACGGCGTAGATTTATATCAGGTTAGGCTCTATGCTGGCAGCCGTTTTGAGCCAGCAGCTTTGGCCCCTATTATGAGTTACATTCGATCTTCGACTGTGGTCGAAAGTGCTGATCGAACGAATTTTCATTTGGTATTATGGCGCTCATTCGATGAAGAATAGCGCTATTGTGAACTTCGCTCGTTTATGTTGTTCACAATAGTATATTTTTCACCGCTGAGAAGCTTTGTTTACAAATCGAGCAAACTAAATAGTGTGCCAAGGGCGTAGAAAGGGGGGGGCCCGCAAATGCCGCCCCCCCCCCCCCCCTAAATCCAAGAAAGACATACCAAAACAAGTAAGAAAGTCTAAGTTCGGGCGGAGCCGAACATTAAATACCCGGCGCAGGTACTAAGTATATGATTTTCACCTTTGCGAAAGCTACCGCTACACGGTAAGCCGGTGTGTATCAATTTTGAGTAAATTAGCGTCCTTAAATGTCGAAATATTGAAGTTTCAAGCATTTCTGAAATTTGCCGTTATATGAAAAGTGGTCGTAATTTGAATCTGATTCCAATAACTTTCAACGTTTTGCTTCTATGTGGCAAGCACAATAATCATACCGAGTTTGGTACAAATTCGTAGAACGGTTACCGAGATACATATATGTGATCATAAGTGGGCGGTG